GAGGGCCAGCCAGGAGACCACTGTGGCTGAAGTCTAGAGACCCTGGAGGAGAGAAGAGGAAGATGAGGTTCCAAGAAGCTGACAGGCCAGACCACACCAGGCCCAACAGGTCAGGACAAGCACTTTGAATCTTATTCTAAACTCCAAAAAGAGACTTCTAAGGAGAGGAATGATATAACCTGATTTACACTTGAGAATGACCGTGCTGTTGCCCAGTATGGAGAGACTGACCATGAGTGGACAAGAGGCAGAGAGATGAGCTGGAGGCTGCGATCATAACCAAGTGAGAGTGAGTGAGAGCTTTCACCAGGGGTGTAGTATCAGAGATGGTGAGAAGCCAGATCTGGGTCTGTTTTGGACGCAAAGCCAATAGAATTTCCTAAAGGTTTAGATATGGGGTGAGGAAAGGAAAAGAACTGAGGAAAACTCTTAAGCACTTGGCCAGAGTAACTGGATGGTGTCATCTACTGAAATGCAGAAGACAGGGAAGAGGAAACAGCAAGTTTAGCTTGGATGACATCAGGTCTTCCATGTAAGGTATGTCAAGTGCAAGATGTCGATTAGATGCCCAAATGGAGATGCCAAGTAGTCAATGGCTTATAAGAGTCTGAAGCTGAACAAGGAGGCCCAAGCTGAGGGCACAGTCTTCAGTGAATACAAGACTCTGGAAGCCTTAGGACCCCATGAGGCCACCTGTGGAGAGGAACGCCCAAACCCCATTTAGAGGTAAGGGAGAGGAGGAAGAGCCCCCATGGGAAATCTAAAAGGAAGGGTCCAATGAGAGACAAAGAAAGACAGACGCCAGGTGAAGAGCAGAGAGAAAGGTCACTCATGTCAAATGCTACAAAGAACCCCAGTGAGCAGTGGCCAGAAAAGTAACCTTTGTTTCTGGCAAGCTGTGGAAGGTATTTTGGTAGCCTTGATGACAACCCCTCCAATGTGAAGCAAAAAAGAGAGCCTGGGTGGAGGAAACTCCAGAGAGAACAGTTTTATGAATTGAACTGTGTTCCCAAAAAATATGTGTTGCATTCCTTATAGCTGTGGAGCCCAGGGCTCGGGGGCTGCTTTTCCCTTGGGGGTGGATATATATTAAGGCCAAGGCCCAGGTAGGTGGGTGCAGGATTGGGAGCTGCTTTTTGCTTGAGGGCAGCTCTATTTTAAGACCAGGGTCCTAGGTAGCTGAGCACGGGTCTCGGGGGCTGCTTTCACTTGGGGTCAGCTCTATTTTAAGGCTGAGGC